AAGCGCCTGCAGTTCTTCCAACGAACTGTTTGGCACTTCAGCCTTGGGTCTAGCCAGCCTACCAGCTTCTTTGGACCAAACAAACTTCGAAAGAAGGACCGCCCTCCCTGGCCGTTTCTCCTCTCTAGGACCGCCTCTCAGTCTCGAAACGTGGCTCAGGATGGCTACGGAGAGGTAAGGAGGCGTGCTCCATGGGACTGGTATATGCCGATCACTTGGGGTGGCGCCAAGTGAATGACGACTGATCGGCATATATGGCAGCCCCATGGAGTGTATGGGTCTATTTTGAGCACTTGGTTCACACGATTTGCGCTATGCCACTATTTGCCACCAACTGCGGCAATGACCAATGTATGCCAACATCCCCTCTGGATTGCTGGTCGGACCCCCTGCCTTCGAGGTAGATCAAATGAGCAGTGTGCAGTTCCCACTCGCTTCCTTCCTTGGCTTGCAGAGTTACACCACTGAGAGGCAGAACTCAGGCTGGAACCTCCCATAAGCGCAAACAAAGACTTTCCAAAGCGCTGCACGTCAGGGCCGCTTGCAAGTCAAGGGGAACTCTTCACCCGGTTCGAACGTTCCAAGGTTCGAACTATGGACGCGCCTCACGAACATGGAACGTGGAGATCGATCCCCTGTTTGAGCCCGGAAAGTGGTCTTCCAAGAAGCCATGTTTCACTTCCATGTTAGTGAGTCAGAGTGTGGGAATGGCTTTGCATCCCACTCTCTCTAAGCCTGGATGGTTGAGTCTCAGATGACCTTGCTGCCTGAAAAGACCTCCACAAAGAACAAACAGTTTAGTTACTAGTTTCACCTGCTGAGTTGGCTCCTAGTAGCGATGCCAGGAGCCCCTAGTAGCGTCCTTGCTCCTAGGAACAGTTTAGTTACAGTACTAGTTTCAGCTGCTGAGTTGCTAGAAGCCAAGCTGATTCAGCAGCTTCACATGCTTGCAGTGCAGCGCGCGAGCCACCCAGAAAGAAGGTCGTCATGTGTAATGGCTCCGTTGGCCACCTAAGATAGGTGTTGGTGTTGGTGATTCACCCGTTCTACCACGCGTTTGTCGACATGTAGGGGAAAAATGGGGAAAATGGATTGATAGCAGTACGAGTACAAAGCACTCCCACAGTTCAAATCTTGTGTGACTCACCACAGGGAAAATCTTCCTCCAAACCCTGTTGGGAAAGGTCCACCTTTTGTTATTTGATGTCACCCAAGGAGGGGCAAAGCTGTTGCCCGGTCAAACCGGTCGAGCTTTCTGGCTCTTTTTCGGGTGCAAGTGCCAAGTGCCAAGTTGGAGTGCCATGAGAAATGGCTGGACTGACTCAAAGAAACACCATGAAACAACCATTTCAGTTCGGACTGCCAGGTGGACCAGAACCTTCCAGTTCGGGGTCACAAACGGAACGCCCGTTCAGTCTCCATCCCGAAGGGATGCTTCGAGAAGCGGACTGTAGAGTCGGTCCCGTACTGGGACCGACTCTTCCCACGGTTCAGGCTTAACATCGACCGCTTGTGACCTCCATCCTACCCCCCGCACCAACAGTAGAGATTCTCCCGCTTTAAAGCAGAAACGTCAGAAGTCCAATCTCTTCAGAGGGTTCGGACTCTCAGTTCCGACTCCGGCTGCCGGGCTGCTGGAGGCCTCCCGGGCGTGGCAAAGGGGGCTCCAAAGCCAAAGCCAGCGAGTCTAACTGAAGTGCCAACCCTTCAGCAACCTGCTGGAAGAAGGGCTGATGCTCCTGCCGGTTCGGAGATCGGTGCTCCGTGGAACGGGTCGAGACGAAACGAGGCGTTCGAGTCCGAAGGTAGCAGGGAAGGACCCAAAAGCCCATGAGGGGGGAAGCTGAGAAGCATAATAGAAGCTATTACGGTTGGAGGCTGTTGTTATTAGGTTGGAGATGGTTGGAGGCCATTGCTAGTATTAGGGAGCCCGTGAGGCGGGGAGTGATCGCTTGGCGCTAAGGCTGAGGCAACCTTACGCACTCGAGGCCTTGCTTGTGAAGTTGTCATCCATGGCGGTGCCTTTCAAAAAATGTGTCGAGGAAGATGTTTGACACGGCTCCTTGCATTCGTGTAACGCACATGAAAGATGTCACCAATGTCAAAGCTCGAAGAGGAAGTTGATGCTTCTCAACTCTCTGCCCTTCCAATTTGGCAAACCAGCAACGATCTGTCCAGGTCTTGTCCTTTACTAAGACTACACAGACACCGCGTTCCCCATTTCGACGCCGGAAGCTGCTCCGGTTTCAGGCAGAGTGCCCCCTCCGAAGGGCCGAACGGCGTAACGAACAGGCTCTGTCCCCCATACGCTGATACCTGTCAGCTGCATGAAAGCAATGCTCCTTTCAATAGGAAGAATCCATAATTCATAAAAAGAGTTACAATCATCAGGTTATTGGATACAGTATTTCAAAGTATTGCCATATAATTTTCTAATATTATCTATTGAGAAGCCCCTTGAGGCTGCTCCCTGTGCGCACAAGTCCCTCAGTATCGCATTCCTCCCTTGACTTTGAGGAAACTATCGAAGCTAACAAGAGGGGCGTGATTGAAGGATGAGGTAGTCGTGAAAACCCCGCAATCGATTTGACAACTCTGCGTGTCCATCATCTTTAACTATGCTCCTCAAGCGATACATTTGGCCATAGATGGACTATATAAATTATAGGAACCGAGTCAAACCACATTGAAGCATATTGAAACCCCGCCGAGCACCGCCTGGTGTTCATGTTTTGGATGACCCTCCTACACCCTCCCTACCCCCCCAAAAAAATGGACGGAACCCCGGAATGTCTTCGTGTGCCAAGTAAAGTCCCCAGCATCTCCTGCAGGTTGAGGCCAATGTACTGCGGGACCGCTCCGGACGTGGCACGCGCGGCACGCGGTTCGGAGTCCCTGGAGTTCGGCGGCAGGTGAGGAACCGTTGGCCCAAAAGGGGAATCCAAAGAGGCACCGTACCAGGCACGCCGACAAAGCAATACCTTGGGTCTATCCTATTACCAGGTTTCAGTGGAAGATGATGGTCAGGTTGAAGGCCGACATCTCTAAACTCGTGATTTGATTTGCTTATATTTGCTTGTTGACTGACTGTTACAGGTTTACAGGGACAAACCCAAGCCAGTTTGCAACAGTTTGATGTCGGAGTGCCCTTAGGACGTCGGACGTCGGGGTGCCCATGATCCACTCAGCCACTCAGCCTTGCCAACTGCTGGGTGTCACTGGGCGGTTTTGGGAGGAACCAACTGGTCGAACCGAGCGAGCCCGGGACTCGGGGCACCATCCGCGCGACGTGACGTGACGAAGAAGAATCGTCCAATCCAATGAACGACGATTGGAAGTCCAAGCGGTTGAGAACGTGCTAACATGATCTAACATGCCTCATGCTTACACACAAATCACACGACACTACGACACTAGTATTTGGGGAAGACACAGTTGCTAGTTTCGATGGAAGAAGGTGTGCTGACCGGCACGGTGCCTATGTCAGTTGTGGTTCCAAACCGTCACACATCACCTTGACCGAGACTTTATCGTCTTGCCACACTGCTGCTATCACTAAGCTAGGAGTAGGAGTGTCAGCCACTTTACTTTGCTTTTGGCTTGAAGATCCTTTATAAGCTCTATGATGGTAGTTTATTCTCGCAAGTAAGCAGCAGGAATTGAATTCTCTGTCCACTGCTTCCGTTGAATTCTTAACACCCAGGCGCGGTTCTCAGAACGCTCGCGGTTCTCATGCCCCAAGACAGGCCAAGAATCTCCTGAATATCTTCAATTTGCTGAAAGTAGTGCCGCCGTTCCTCCACCTTCACGCCTTGACCGGGCTCCGGTAAAGAGAGAACCGCCGCTTCCTCTGGTGAAGCGCCAGAGCGCGCCGGAACCGGGCGAACCTTCTTGATGCCGGCGCGCTCCAAGGCACGTGACGCTTCGCGCATCAGGATGGATCATGAGCACATGGCTCGATATTGATGCTTTCTTGAGAAAAGGACTCTCTTCAACCAGTCTGCTGCGTGGGTACGCATCTATTGCTCAAGTTCAACCTGCAAAGTCCGGCTGTGTGCACTGCCAGGCCGTTTGCTGAATCACTTTTGGGGGTGGGGTCATGTCGTCCGTACATTGCAAAGCCAGTTCCAGTAAAGGCATATCAAGGAGTCCAAACATGATGTTTCGGGCAGCCAGGGCTTTTTGTTGACGCACCCGCAGCATAGAATACGACACCATTGATTCACGACTATGACTACGGTCTGCGTAGGAACCAAAAGCGTCCGATGGATGCTGGTCCGGGGGTGCGACAAATCTAATCGAATTGGCTGCAAGTCTCGTCTAGCGTCTAGTGGATTGTTGAAGTCAAGTCTCCCTTGAGCCTGGGATCTTCGTGCGGATCCACCTAATCAACGTGTCATCGTGATGTGGTGGCTACCACAAGGGTCGAACACCAGAACACCAGAGAACCACCACCACCACCACCACCGCCACCACCACCACAACCACCACCACCTAATACAACTTAATACTATTATTCCCAGGCTGGACTCCGACCGACCAAAAGGCCAGTTCGGTGTCATCTATGGAGCAAACTTCCGGTTGAGATCACTTGTCCACATTGGAACTGTTTCGACACTTGGGTGATCTTGGGTGCTCATTCTTCCGATAAACTTGAGGTTGCTGAACTTTGGCAAAAGTTGGCAGCCTTGCAGTCTGAAGGATTTGACCAATTATATAATGTTATTTAATCATCCAAATCCCATTCATCTCAATTGCGCAAGGGATCAAATGGCTGGATCTTCGACTTGCAAAATAGCATTCCTGGCAGCATCTTTGCATCTTGTTCATCATTTTTCCAGTTTTCTACGTCCATCTGAGTGAGTATCAAACAAAAACGGGCGTTTCGCATACGCGCCAAACCCGTCTTTTTTCGCGGAGTCTTCTGTCCAGCGTGGGCCGAGAGTGTGCGGAGGTCTGGCCCGAGCAAAGCGCGGTTGGAGCAAAGAGATGAGGTCTTTTCAGAGCTTCGTCTGCGGCTTCCAGCCCATCCACTCATCAAACTTGGCCTTCCATTGGAACGCATAGGGCTCCTGAACCCGTGAGAAGAGTGAAAATGTCAAGACACCATTGAACAACGTGGCAGCTTCCAACATTGGATCAGGGTGGAGCGGGCCCAGGTGTTGCAGGCAAGCAAACTAATCTGATCACGTCCAACATCATCCAATCATCTAATCTGTTGTCAGTAGCTTGTCAAAGCATAGTTATAGACAGAACACCCAATAAAACAAAGAAACCCCATATTATATCATATTATGTGATATTTCGTTGTGAAGGTCTGACGGTCCAAAGAATGTGGTGGGCTCCAGCATAAATCGACGAAAAAGCGATAGTGACAGCAGGACTCTTCAGTCCAAAGTTGACTGAACGCTACCATGCTGCTGGATTGTAGCCTTCCTGCCGCTTGGTCTTCGGATTCAAAGGCTCAACCGCCATAATGTAGAGAAAACCCAGCGCGCCCGCGCAGATCGCCATGACTTTTGGATCGAAGGACATCTGATCGAACGGACTCCGGCGCGGAGTCCGCGTGTGTGCGAGGTGCTCCTCTGCTCTGCAGTCAACTTTGAACCCGGCCAGCTACGGCGTTGGTCACATACAGCATGAAGAGCAGCAGTGGCGGCAGCAACAGCAGCAGCAAAAGGAGGAGGAGGGAAGAGGGGTAGTAGGTAGTAGGTAGTAGCAGCAAGCAACATCACTGTGTGGATTGGGTGACATCACATTGCGCCAGTGCCAGCCCTCAGTGCCCGGTTCCTCAAGCCGCTCACGCCAGGAAGAACAGCACCCCGAAAAGCCGGTATAAAGAACCCGGGTGAGTGCCCAAAACTACCCCTGGCACCGCTGCTACTGCTCATAAGGCCAGGAGCTGCGTCCTGTTGGGGTATGCACTTCAGCAAAGGTACAGAAGTCAACTGCAGTAATGATGATGTAGACATATGTAGACTCTTGATTAGTAACCCCCCAATTGAATTGGACATCCTCTTCATATGGTTGGTCTATTAATCAAGAGTCTGGAGTCTGAATTACAATAAAAAATATACCCAAACCCTATTGAAAAAATCCATTCAAAATGGATGAGCCTCATCCTCATCGAGGCTCTCATGCCGCTTTCGTTGAACAACCTGGCCCAGCTGGCAGCTGCACTAAGAATCTTGGATGTGGTTAATCTCTCATACTCGCCAGTGCGTCCCTTCACTATTGATGTGTTGCAGGATTCTTCCATTGTCCTGCTAAATATCTCGCGTGATCCTTAATTATTAGTTATATTCTTCCATGACCATCACGGAGGACAGCTGAGATCCGAGAACTGTGCATCAGAAAATCTTTGCAAACACGATCGAGTCCCCGTGTTATCTCCGCCTCTCCGCCTGCCAGCCTCTCTCATCTCTCTCTCTCTCTCTCTCTCTCTTGATCTTTCTGTGCAAGAAAACAAGGATCCATCTCCAAACTGAGACACCCTAGAACTCATCCGGGCGAAGTTCTGCCGGCAACGAAAATCCCCGAAGTCACCTCATTGCTCATCACCTCTGGTGGCGAAGTCTTCTCGCCTGGTACGGCGACCGGAACTTTGACATCATTCGGACGAGGAACCGCGGGAACTGTGCTCACCTAAGTGACATTTACACTCCATGCTAAACTCAAATCTTATATATTTGTGGAGTTTGGAAAAACCTGGTTGGATCATTAGTTTGGTTTTCTTGTGATCCGCCAACCCCCCCCAGTGTCCCTCACGTGCACTGGGGCTTGCCAGATTTGCCAGTCACTGGGGTCCCGTTCCGCTCGCCACGCCGCCCCGTGACGTGAGTTCACACCGGGAGGCGGCGATCAGACTGCCTGTTAGGCCTTAAGTGATCCTGCCATACCTTTGGAGCGCGGGTGCAGTATCTTAAACACGAACGTGTGCTTCATTTGGGGGGCCTTCTGCATTCTCCAAGCAGGACCGGACCCCCAAAACTCCACTTCATAGGCCGGGACCCCTTTGTCTCACCCTTCATCCTTAGTTCTTCAGATCCAACAGGTTCATGGCCCCCGGGGTCTCACCGTGGTCGATGCCACACCTGGTGGTGCTGGACTCATGCCTGTCTCTGACACCTGGCGGGCCCAGGGCCCATGCGGGCCGAGTGCGGGAGGGTCAGGGTCCCGCCACATGGCTGAACAGGTGAGTTTCTTATTTTGTGTTGGTTCTTCTCCGTGATTTGAACAATTATTCTGGCTTTGAGCTAGTGATACATGATGACCAGGCTTTAGCATGGCCATAAGTATAATAAGTAAAGACATGTAAAAACTTCCCAGGAGGGGGCCCTTCCTTTGGGACCAAGACCGAAACCGCAACAAACTCCCATCATGGATACATGGATGAAGATTCCGTGACATCTTCGCAGGCCGCGACTGGTGGTGAGAAACCTGTTCCCATTCACAACCTGATGAAAAGCACAGAACTGCATAGTCACAAACCGTCCAGCGAATATCCGCGCGCTCCGCATCTTCCAATGCGCGAAGAAGCGCATGCATGCGCATGTGGCATCACGAACGTCACTCTCCCGCCCCCCACGCCCCCACCTGAACCTCCCGCATCCTTCCAACAATCCAACCCTTGTGTGCATGTGCCATCTGGGATGCATACCCAAACGAACGGCATGATCCTGCCCACCAACCCACCCGAGAAAAAAGAAACGACCCAACGTCATGTCAAACTTGTCATGATGCCGCCGTAACACGCAAGAACCATTGGACCATCGGCCGTTGATCTCCAGGTCTATTTTCCGTTGCCACACATACAGCCCCAGGCCATAGGATCGAGCAGGTGTAGCATTGAGATCATCGAGCACGCTTTGTGGGAATCATTATGTCCCAGTGCGAACACTAGAACTAAGTCTCCTCCACCCTTGCGGAGAACACATTGGGTGTGGGACGGGGCTCAGACTCAGACACACTTAGGGCGTCCGGACTCCAATGGCTGACGAGCTCTCTCAGTCGGACCGGGAGGTTCCTCTCTCCAACGGGACGAAGACGAATGTCGTCCGCTGAAGCCACGGGCGATTCCACGATCCATGTCGAATCATGCCACCGAAATCCCCTCCCCCC